TGAAATTTTTGATGAATCGACGATAGAAGGATGCTAATCCATGGAAACTTCGGACATCGTGTAAACTTTTTAGCTTGGGCCAATTCAAGACTGCCTCAGTTTTAGATTGATCTGCATGAACACCATCAGTAGATACAACAAAACCCAAAAAAATTACAGAAGTTGTGAAAAAAGAACACTTATTCTGATTGATGAATAAGCGCTCCATCCTGATTACATCAAAAATAGCACGAAGATGATCAAAATGTGACTCCCACACCGGACTATAAATAAGTATGTCATCAAAGTAGACTACCACAAACTTTCCCATGAAAGGTCGTAAACCTTATGCATAAACCTCATAAAAGTACTGGGCGCGTTGGATATTCCAAAGGGCATGACCACCCACTCATACAATCCATGCTGTATCTTAAACACCGTCTTCCACTCATCTCCAGGTCTGATTCTAATTTGATGGTATCCGCTTTTAAGGTCAATTTTTTAGAAGACCTTAGAACCGAACAACTGATCTAACATGTCATCCAGACGAGGAACTGGAAACATGTACTTCACTGTAATCCTGTTAATTGCTCTACTGTCAACGTACATCCGCCACAACCCATCCTTATTCGGTACTAGTAGAGCAGGAACTGCACATGGACTCATACTCTCACGAATGTATCCTCTCTGCAATAATTCTACAACCTGTCACTACAACTCTTCAACTTCCTTGGGACTGAGACGATATACTGGTCAGTTTAGCAGACTCGACCCAGAATAAGGTCGATCTAATGTTGAATATCACTCATATGTGGTAACCCCAGAGGAAGATCCTCTAGCATTAAGTCAGAAAACTCCATTAGCAGCTGCTGCACTTCCGCTGGTAAATTCGAGTCATCCTTCACTTCACTATTCTCACAGGGCAGTAGAGCATAAATCGCTTCTCCATTCCCAACCTCTACTAAGAATCTGGACATAGAAAGTAGGTTGTTGTTATTAATTACTGGGGCAGGGGTTGTTTCTTCCCTGCGGAGTGCAAAAACAATTTTCTTCCTTTTGATGCTAAGGGAATAAGTATTTTTCCTTCCATCATGAATAATGCTATGATCATACTGTCAAGGTCGTTCCAACAATACATGACACGCATCCATAGATACCACATCACACCAAGCATTATCAAAATATTTTTTTCAATCAAAAAAGACACTAGACACCATTTCTCTACTATTACTTCACTGCCTTTATTGAAACACGATAATTTGTATGGCTTGGGATGACGATCTATCTTCAGCTACAGTTTCTGGATAGCCTCTTCAGACACTACATTTCACAACTGCCACTATCAATGATTAACTTACAAACTTTATCGACAACTGTATAGGTTGTGTGGAAAACATTGATCTTTAAGCAATTGTCCCCTGAATCGTCCTTGGGAGTCAGCAAACTCTTGCGAATGACTAGAGTCTCTTGGCCATCTCCATACAGCACATCCTCATCTTCACATCGTCATATATAGGCTCTCCAACCTCCTCAATACCTCTATCAAATCCTCTTCAATTAGAAGATTTTTATTCTTCTGACCAATCGGCTTCACGCAATCAGTCACCCTATGTTCCTGTTCACCACATCTGAAGTACTTAATGCCTAAGTTAGGATTGTCCCGCGGGGGCTGATAGGTAGGACAAGATGCTTGAGATCGAACTGGCTAACTACTTTCACTTCTAACCACTGGCTTTCTATTTTGCTGCCTTTCCACGACAAGTGCACGCTGGTATGCTTCAGACACTGTCTACAATGAATGAAGGTTTAGAACACCCTACAGGGGCTACCTTAATCCTGCCACATACCGTGCAACCGTTTGTTCTTCCGTTTCAGATAAATTGTTCTGAGCTACCAATTGATAGAACTCCTCCGTATAATCATCAACAAATCTCGTGCCTTGCCTCGGTGAATGGAGCTGCAGAAATAAAGACTGAGTGTAGCCGAAAGGAAGAAAGTGCCCTTTCATCTTTTTCTTTATCTTCTCCCAATCAGTGATCTTAGACTTGTCTTGCTGCTCTCGCGAATGCCTCAATTGTTCCCACCATGTTGAAGCTATTCTTTTAAGTTTGATGGCGACTAATTTTACCTTGACACGATTTGGAACGTCCTTATACTCAAATATTCATTCCACTTCATTCAGCCAATCAATAAAACCTTCAGCCTATAACTGCCAGCAAACTCTAACAGATCCACTCTGAAATCGAGGTCTACATGGCTATCTTCCCGTCCACGATGCTCCCAGACTGGAGCACGATTGTGATACGGGTTTTCGAAATTGGTATCGAAATCGTGACCCTCTACATCATGATTATCGAACTTTTGTTCTGCCAAACGTTGAGTTAACTCCACAAATTGTCTCTGCAAATCTTCAATCGTCACATCCTGAACATTGTGATCACGGTGTGGGACTTCCTCAATCAGAACCTGCTCTCGACGACCACGACCACGTCCACCAACTATTGTAACTGATGAAAATTTCACCAGAAAATACTGACACTCTGATACCAACTGACGCCGAGTAGGATAGCGATTATCTTATAGGCTAATTGCAACAGACAATTCGCAAGAAAGAAGAAGAAAGAAACGCCAAAAAATAGAGAGAATTCTCTGAAATCTTCACTCAATATCATTAATAATCAAGAATGATGAAAATTGACTCACAAGCTGGGTTAAATAGCTGCAAAATTACGAAATTATCGAAAAATATCAAAAATAGCAAAATTCTAATGATCACACCAAAATAAAATATGAAATAAAAGAAGTAAGCTGTCAAAAATTTGGCTCAATCCAAATTCTCCAATGTCTAGAAAAAGACAAACGAAATATTACCATAAATAGTCAAAAATAACTAAAAATTGAATTTCGAAAAGGAAAACGATAGATTTTGGGCTTGAAATTGACACCCACTAAGCATAGCTGGGTGACCACGATGTGCGTGCCGAAGAGACCTTTTCGAATTGGGGTTATAATAGCGATTCTGATAAGCGTAGCCAAAGTTATGGTCAAATTACCAAAGACGTGTCAAAATTACCCCAATTAAAGAAATATTGCATTTATTTTCTATCTTTCCGCCTATCTGTCATCTCATGGGATCTAAGCGCTATCAACAAGCTATTTGACAAATCAACGTCACTCGACTCGGATCCTTCTAACTCACAATATATCCCAAAATTGAGAGAACTTTCAAACAGGGAAAGAAGAAAACAGAGACAAGCAAAAGAAATGATAGAAAATCAACATTAGAACTAAGTTCAGAACCCCTTACCACTACCTCAGCCAATTTAGCCAGATCGGTCGAGGATAGTTGCAAATCACGGAGAAGCTTTTGTGAGGGATTATGTGATTCCATGCTAGCTCCTATGCAACTAGCTATTATATATCCTCCTTTTGGACTAGCCAGCTTCCACATTAGACCTGACGTCATCAACTTATTTCAGAATTATCAAGATATGAGGTTCGATGTGAGATCAATAGAAAATCCTCATGAACGTATTCAAGCTTTCTTTATGCTCTACGGTATGATCAGTCACGTTGGAATGTCTATGGATGCCTTTCGACTACACTTTTCTCCTCACACATTAAAAGAGGGCGCATGGGAATGGCTAAATTCTTTAATCCAAGGGAGCATCGTTTCATGGAATGAAATGGTGCAGAAGTTCACGTTGAAATTCTTCCCACCATCTCGAGTCCATCATATCCAAATGAAATTCATACTTTTAAGCAAAAAGACCTCAAAAGTTATCTACAAGCATGTAAATATTCAAAGAGTATTTCAGGAAGTGCCACACTCTGAATATTCCTAAAGAATCAAGGATTTGCATATTCTATTTCAGCTTGAGACCTGAATTTCATAACATTGTCGATGTTTCTGTAGAACAGTCGATATTGAATATTCTTTAGATAATACTTTAGACCTTTTTGAAAGAATTGCAGAAAATCAATCCATATAGCCAATAGACAGGGAAGTGCCAAGGAAGACAGCAGAAACACACAACGTTGACATAACTACATCATTAATAGCCCAAATGGAAGCACCGACAAAGAAATTAGATAGACTTACTTAAAATGTGAACATGGTTCACCAGTCAAAACTGGTTTGGGAAGGGTGCGGAGCAGGTCATATTACAGAAAGATATCATTTAGCCTTCACACATGTAATTCAGTCTGAGGAAGTTAATTATATGCAGAACTTTTGTTTGCCCACTTTGAATCAAATTAAAGACTAGTACATTCAATTGAATTTTATTTCTCGGGGACAATACTCTCAACTTACTAAATCTATTACTTGTCAACAATCTCATACGCTTGCGAATTTCATATGTACACCACATATATGCATCCATTAGTTTGTTAATAATAAATGAAAAATCTGGAGAAAAATTATGTATTGTAATAATCTCAACATATGTATCTTGTCAAAAACAACCAATCTTAAACATCGAGATCTATCCACTCCTAAAGATAGGGAATTGGAAATTAATTAATTTTAGGCTCCATAGATATTCATCCATTAATTTGTTAATAATGAAAATGACAAATATTTGCTAACTTGAGTAATAGTAATATCATATATCTTGTCTAAAGAAGGCTAGCTCTATCCCATGAGCTAGGATCCCCATTCATGTCAAGATTAGAGGTTCTTGATGCAGTAGTTGCTTGTACTTTTCATTTTTCAATATGCCCCCCCGCAATGTTCAAGACGCTCTAGGTGAACACCAGTAAAAAGCCATACGGAGTTGTGGAATTTCAACCAAATTTGGAGGATGATTGTAAGGTTGGCATCCATACGTAGAAACACGTCAATGTCCACACTTTTCCCATGATCATCACTTACACAAAACCAATCACAAGGGCATTTTTGTCTTTTCATATCCCCAATCGCTTGGTGCCCCATACATGTTGCAAATAGCTCAACATTATTCCGACATATTACGTTATCGACTCTACCCCCAACCCCCCATCCCTAGCCGTAAAAATCCATATCAAAATATAACCCACAGAATCCTAATCTCCATTTTCGTTTTCATTGATTCATTCTCGATTTACACACACCAAATTCTCCTCATTTCCTCTCTTTTTACAGCGTAAAAAAGCAATCAGTATATAGCTCAGAAGAGAGACAAAGAAGAAACAGAGCTCAAAGTCCCCAAAAGTTTACCTATTTGCACCCCTCAGATGCCAAATCCATCATCGCCAATACAACTGTTTGTTACCGGAGGTGATTGTGAGAGATCGCCTAATGGCTCAAATTCAAAGGTTCCTGGCAATGACGAGCTAAGAACTAGCTCGGCCACGTCACCGGAGAGGTCAGATTTGTTGTTTGCTATGCAAAGGGTAAGAGAATTAGCTGCGGAGGTGAGGAATCGGATCGAATTGAAGAGACCTCGAGAGATGACCCCTTTTTTTAGGATCAGGTGTAGGAAAAAGAATAGGCTGATCGGATTTCGATGCAGGTATGGAGAAATGTTCTGTTCCGAGCATAGATATTCTATTCGACACGATTGTACCCACGACTACAAAGCGACTGGCCAGGAAGCTATAGCCAAGGAAAATCCCATTGTAAAAGCTACAAATCCTCAAGGCTTGAGGTAAAAAAAAAATGAAGATCTAGAATTAGGTAGAATTTGTAAATTCGATAAACTAATGAGGGTATTGTTGTCATTTTATGATTATTGTAATGGTAATTGATCTTCCTTATTTTGCAATTTTAATTTTTTTTATTTAATTACTTTAAAATTTAAGGTGTTTCTTTGATAATTGATATAAATGTTAATTTTGTTTCTTAATTTGATCGATGAGTAATTAATTATATTTCGATATAATTTATTGAGATGCTAAGGTGGCATCTACAAGTGGTGGATGAGTGAGTTGGACAAAAGTGATCTGTGGGGCCCATGTTTTAGAAGATTGAAAAATTCAGCAAAAGTACGCCAAATTAAATAATAATTAATCAATAAAAATCTTACAAAAAGATAAACTCCTCGTGATTCATGAAATATTGGAAATTGATGACGTTGCAACTTCTTTTGGAAATAGTATTACTTTCTTACGAGGACATAGACTTGCTTTCTATTTTCATTTATTTTAAATTATAAGGTTTTTTTTTTTTTTTATGAACATAATGAATTTTTAATGTATCTCGATATTAAGAAATATGATCTATTATTATTTAATGTAAAGATATTGACGAAAAACTTAAGTAAAATTCATAATTTAAATTATATTAATTAAATTTTTCTTAATCGATTTCAATATGAAAGTAAGCCCTTCTTTCATCCTCATTATTTTTAAAATACATTTATCTCTCTTATTTTTAGTCATACATTTTTTAATAAAATAATATTACTCGCAAACTCAAAAAGTTTCTTTATTTTATAACCACACATTCTCTATCAAGATATTATTCCAGAATGCATTTTAGGCAAAAAACAAAAAACAAAAAAGGACTCAAATATGCTTTAAATTAAATATGTCTTTGTGGAATTGATGGAATATGTGTGTTTGCACGTAATTGTGTTGTAACATTATGTTAAATTGACATATTTAGTACATTAATCATGCTATTGAGTACATTATAATTTACATAATTGTTTACATTTTTTTTTATAGGATATCATTATTTACATCCACATTTTTTATATATGCACCTAATATATAAACATCCCTATTAAAATTTTAAAAAATTATTATCTTCATCCACGTCAAATTTCAATATTGTTCTCATTAAATTTATTCATTTAAGCATTATAGATCTTTACAAATTTTATATATTCATCCCACTATAAATACAATTTCAAAAATCACTATATTCATCCAATCACTATCAAAATTTAATTTGGTTCTTACTTTTTATTATCTATATTGTATATCGATGCTTTATTATTTAGATGAATTTAGAACAATATGTTTTTATTTAATTTTATATATGTCTATTTAGGTAAATTTACATAAGATCAAAAATATAATATAATTATCTTTTTTAAAGTGGATGTATATATAAAAATCATGGATATAAATAGGCATTTCTACATGAGCACCATCAACTTTTCCGATTTCCCAAACACCATTTCACACCACTACTTAAATTGTGTTACGTAGGGGGCGATGTCAATCGTGATGTAAAACAAAATGTACATTTAGTAGTCCCCTTTTCGTTGGGGATAATTGCAACAAAAGCTGCAAACTTTCGAAATGCTAGCAGACTTTTTTCAGACCTTTTATTTGTTGCAATCATCACCTAACCTTTTTAACAGTTGCATGTGAGGCCCTTTTGAATTATTTTCATCCAAAATGCCGTTAATTGACGACCAAAATTAAGTTTGGCCACATTTTAATCAATTTTAAAAGGACAAAATGATAACTTTCTATTTATCACATCAAACAATTAAAAAACTTAAATCAAAAAATTAAAAAATAAATATAAGAAAAATATAAAGGTCTCTCTTCTTTACCCACCATATTCTCCACCCTTTACCCCACTTTAAACCACCCCAAAAATAAAATCAAACAACCATCTTTAACTGTCAGCCCAACGTTGATGTCAATGAATTTTCCAAACAAATCGATTGGAAAAAGATTAAGAAAGAATTAAAAGCTTTTTATTTGTTCAAGCTCGTCCAGAATTTCATTTGAATAAAATCCTAGATTCTCGAAAGGAAAATGGCTTCTCCTGGTAATCTAGAGACCTCAAAAAATGCAACGTCCTTCTCCGTTGCTACTAGATGATATAGAAATGATTAGAAAAAGGATCTGTTGAAAATATGTTGTTCAAAATCAATAAACACGCGTGTGGAATGGAATGAACAAAATTGGAACATAAAACTAAAATCGGAGGCTCAAGATGAATGCCATGCGACCGCATAGCAATACGGCCATGCGGTCGCCTGGCCACAACCCGAAACTGGAGAGGCCAGTTTGAAGAACTCCATGCGACCGCATGGAGTTATACCATGCGGTCGCATGATAGTAACAAGTGACCGTTGGATATCGTTTCTAGTAGTTTTTTGATGGCTTTTGGAGGGTTTCGTGCAACCTTTCAACATGGTTTTGAAACCAATTCGTGGAATTGATTGAGGTCTATAAATAGGCCATTGATGATCAATGAAAAACATCGAAAATTATATTACAAACATATGATGAACATTCTTTCATTCCACAAGAAGAAACCAAAATCTTCTTTATCCATATTCAAATTCCCCTAGTGTTCTTCAAATTTTGGAGAGTCACACAAGTGCTTAAGTGTTTGATTCTCTACAAGGCTTGATTAATCCTACAAACCATTTGCCGCGAGACCCTTTAAGCACCAAAATTATATACGAGAGGGGGCAAATATCGTTTGAAGACAGCGATATAATGTCGTGTTTGAGCCTTCATATTTATTTAGGTTTTTCCCATTATTTTCATCTTCTTGAATTTCCATTTCTCGATTTCTTCTCCAAACCCCGGTGTGATAATTTTTCAACAATCTCAACGATATTTGGGCAATGGAGAATGAAACCACTTTGGCTATGATCAAGTTGGTGGATCGAGATTCTTGTTCGTGTGGATCGTTTGATGGGACGAACTTCATGAGATGGTTCGATTGGAAGAAAGATATGAATCCAGATTCTTGCACTTGGATTTGGTAAATTATCATTTTTTGCATTTTCCAAATACAAGAATGGAATCATCTTTGCAAAGATCAAGTTGACGAGATCCAGATTTTGGTTGAAAAGTTCGATGGGACGAAACTTTATGTGAAGGCAAGTATGAATCCCATTCGGTAAGTGGAAACTATGATTTGATTTCGTGAGTGTGAGAGGTATGTTTTTATGGATATAATATGCATCATCGGTGTATCCTGAATCAATCCTTGAATTATTGAAATCATGCATCTCTGGCATTATAATTGAAGCCAAAATTTCTGTGACTATATAAGATTGAAAATTATATATGCATATTGTTATGGAAAGATGTGTATTCTTGCTTTAAAAGACTGGAATATTCATTTCTGAAATAGTGTGATCCATCTGGAATCGAGTAGCATGATTTCATTTGTCTTGATGCATGAAATGGTTTGCAGTTAACTGTCCTCACTTGTGAACGAGCATGAACATGTATGATATGCCAATTGTTGTGTTGTTGCTTACATCTTTGTTGAATGTTTGTTTGATCCACTTATGCCTCTAATGAAGAAATTGCACATAAGTTCTGTATGAATTTATATTATTGATCTAATTGGTAGATAATGAAATAGTCAACAATGGAGGCTGATGATAAATTTTCCCACCAGTCACCATGTGCAAATTAGGAAACTGATTTAAACACCCTGGCAGTTTCATGAACGTTGTTTAAAATTTCAAAATTGATGGATTATATGATAATCCACTCCCTTGATCTTAACTTGACTCAGTTGATGATTTGGAGCATTTTATATCATAATTTAATTTAGAATCTAGACAATTTTTTGTCATCACATATTATGATGAACTTACTGGCATTTTACATGAAATGAATCATTAATGCAGATATGATTCTGAAAATGGATATCAATTTGCAAGAATAAAATATATCTTATGTTGCATCTTTGATCTGTTGAAAATTGAAACGGTACCGACAATAAAAAGTTTGATGGTGGTTTCGGCAACCGTTGACGGTGGTGATAAATGGACAACATGGAAAAAAACCATTTAATTTTGCACCTCATATGCATGAGGAAATCTATGTCTTTTCGGTTGGAGAATAATTGGGTCATATTGTTCACTTAAGGAAGGAAAATGTCAGATTGCATGTGTGATTATGCTTATTATATGTCATTTCCAGAATTTGCATATACTTATGTGCAGAATTGGCAAACACTAATCCTTGATAGAAATTGTCCGCAAAGAAAATTCATTTATGGTAAATAGGCACGTTGTTGGTGTCTCTTTGATAGTCTAAAATCATGTGAATCAGATTAGTGTTTTCATTTGATGAATCTATACAAAGGTTTGGATTTTGGATTGACCTTTTGGCGGAAATCAATGATGAAAGTCCCAATTAGGTAAGATGATTTCATGCTAATTTTTGCTTGCGTATGGTTAATGTTAATAGCCTCATTTAATCGTATAATTAAGTGTGATGACTTTATGCCAATTATAATTGCATAAAGTATGACAAGTTGTGATTTGTTCTAGTTTATTTGTAGAGCACAAATTGTGTTTGCATATTAGTATGACAAAATGTGATTTTGTCCAAATATGAATAAGGTGAACATGTACCTTATCATTTGAGGTGATATGATGCTATCTTGTGAAGGTCACGAAAGTGATAAATTGCAAACAATTGGAGATTAATATGTTTAGTCTCATTCGTTGTGGAATTGGACTTTAATCATGGAACCAATTGAGTTGGTTTGTGCTTGAAAAAGCATTAACGGTCTATGAGATGACCTTGATAAAATGTGTGATCAAATTGAAGATAGTTGATTTGAATTATATTGTGACTTAACAACCATTATCGAAAAGTACCTAAATTTTCACGAGCATTATCAAAAGTGATAATAAATTGAACTATGAAAGAGTTGATGAACTCTAAGTTCAAATATAATCCCAAATATGGGGGCTATTATGTTAATAAGCTCTAAAATTACCCAAACTGTAGGGGTTAACATTAAATGATAGTGAACTTATATGAGAAGTTCAAAATTTGCGGATGCAATACTAATATATTGCATAAGAATTTTTAA